CTTCTGATTTTGTATTGCAATTAAAAACTTAGCAACTTTTGACGGCATAATTGAATTATCAAAAATCTTTGTTTCTTCAAATTTTGTTATTATCATACTTTTATATCATTCTGTTTATATTTTTCTGCTAAACGTTTTTTGAAATTTTTTATAGAATTTATATCATTTTATTTTTTTGTTTTTTTTATATCTTTCGCTAAGTACTTAAATTACTTTATTCCTGAAGATAAGTGATAGTCCTTTTGTTTGTTTATTCGTTCATCATTATTTTTATTTCGAAATCTTATAAGAAAACAAGTATTTCCAAGTATCAAAATCTTTTAACTTTTATTTAAATTTTGAAAGCACATGTCGAATTATGAAGAAATTTTTTTCTTGGCATTTTTATTTTGTTTATATTTTCTGTCGACAACTTAAATATTTTATTTAAAATCTAAAATCTAAATTTGTATTAAAATCTATAAAATGTCTAAATTTTTATAAAAATATTTTTCCGTCAGCTTAATTGATAGTTATATTATCAAAATAATACCTAATATTTATTTTCATTTCGAACCTTCCCTTGAAGGGATTTCAATTGGATGCAGTTCCCATTTTAGGAACTCGCCTGGAAAAAGCTATTTTATTAGAAATGTTTGAAATAGTCATAATATTACGCGCATCTTTTATTCTGTACAGTTTCCTATACAGTTTTTATTTATAAGAAACAAAACTTTGGCGCTATCTGGCGATGATGCCACATATTGCTTGCAGATTAATGTTTTATTTAATTACACAATATTTAGTACAATCGAAGGACATATACTATTTTATCAGGATAAATTGTTTCATTCAGTTATGTTTGTTTAATCAAATAATATGATTCAGTACAACGAAACAACAACATCTTTATTTAAACATCTTTCTAAATAAATATTTTATGTAAAATTATTATAGCTTGATATTTACTTATTATATTACTTGAAGCAAACAAATGTAAATCAAACAAATAGAAATAATAAATATAAAGAAATCTTTTTTCTGTGTAATTGAGTTACAATAAAAAAAATATCGTAATATATATTTTCCGATTGCCAATGCCGATTTTTTTTTGCAGGAATATGATCACCCTCATCTATTACTGCAAAATAGCCATAGTCAATTTACTTTGTTAGTAAAGGAGACTGGTCCAGATATGTACGATCAACTAACCAAAGTGGCGAAGCAAGCCTATTTAAACAAATATAAAGGAACATAACAAAGCGTTGGTGAATTTTGATATATTAATTTCTTGTTAGTTAGATTTCTCAAAGTAAGAAAGGATCATTTAAAGTCCGGAATAGTTACGATATAGAAAAATACATATAACGCATGCAAAATTACGCGCTCAGGTGAATATTACATGCCCAGAAGAACATACTGTCATACTTCGGGACATTGTAGACACGATACGTTGAGTCAAATTATAATATGTGATGTTGAACATAACTAGCATCTAAATCTAAAAAATAGATGTCTAAAGAATAGACTAGATTATATTTTTGTATTGTATTGTATTTAATGATAACACGGCGAGACTTCTTCTCTTCTTTGATCTTATTGGCAAGTCGAGTAAAAATTTCTGTCACAAGTTAAAACTCACAGTACTATTATATATTTTTCTACTCTATACTTTTTTGCGTGCTTTCACAGAAATTATAAATATTTATTAATTCTTGTGATAAAGCGTATGTCGATTGAGGATGAATCAAGGCAGTGAGATTGTAAACATGAAATTGTACGAACCATCGCAAAAAAATGACATCGCAATTATATTACTTAATTATTAGTAAATATTAATGTCATATTAAATCAATGACCATTTAAATGACCTTTCACGAAATTAATATAACTTTGTTCTTTCTTTCGAAAATTAATTGCTTACAGAAAAAAATGTATAAATTTCTATTTCTACTTATCTTACTAAGATTTTCAAGGCAGAGAATTGTTTATAAAGAAATGAATGGAATAATGAATTTGATTATATTATGTCTAATTCTCTGTCGTGCATTATTTTTATATTAATTAACGAAAACTTGCTTAATTTGTACAGTATTTATTGTGTATCACTATGTTTTTTATGAATAACTATATAGCGCATTATGTTATATTACGATCTTATTGTAAACTATTGATGGATAGAAATGAAAGAAATATTGAAAAAAAATGGAGATCGATAATATCGATACATTAAAACCCTTGTATCTTTACTCCCTAATTTCTTGCACCCTTACTCTTGTTATTTCTTCTTTATAGCACGAGAAAACAAAGAGAAATGAAATACATACAGAAACCAACTGTCCTAGAAGGACAGACCAATTAAAAAGAATGAATATGGACGAATAAGTGACAAATGAAATGAAAAATTATCTCGTTAATATAATAAATCGTTAATATAATAAAAAAAGTAGGCATGTGAGCTTTTTCGCGAAACATAATAGATCAGATAGAATTTCGGATTCGAGATACCGAACATTCTTTTTCGGTGTACGAATTCACAGAATTCATTTGAAGTTGATTTTTTTCTTATCAAAGATATTCCGAGGACATCGTTAGATTATAAGCAACGTGTTAACGTTGCAACCGAGAATAAAAGATTTTTTCCGAGTAAGTAAATTTCGAGAATAGATGAGATTTTTATGATGATTGTGGAAAGATGAAAAATTAATTAAAAATGTATTAAAAATGTTTAAAATTGTGAGATAGATAATAATCTCCTTCGATCTTTTCAGTAAGGAAAAATCGACTCCGAACTAGTCAAAAAAAAAAAAAAAACATTGACGAAAAGCGAAGATCCTAATCTAAGAAATCATAATATCTAGGATTTAGTTAGAAATAGGTAAAGAAAATAGGTTAGGAAATAGGTAAAATATTTTGTGTCGATCAATGTATTAATGTTAACAATTTTGTATTTTGTGCGCAGAAAAAAATTTTGTGCCACCAACTTTAGAAGAAGACTTCAAAGAAATGGCGGAGAGCAATTTTGTTCCGAATTTTTAATAACGAGAAGGATCGAAGACTCTACGAAATGTATTTACTCGAAAGTTGAATCCTCTTCAAATGATCAAATAAATCATCCTGCATGATTGCATAAATTGAAATTGCCATCGTATTCAATTATTTTTAATGTAATAATGTCAACAATAAAAATATTTATTAGATTGCAAATATCAACTATTTAATTATTTACAGCTATAAAATTTGACGATAAGTCATTCTCTTGTATAATTCTTTAAATTTCAATATTTGCAATTTTGAATTTTTTAGATTAATTATTAACAAAAATTTTGATAAAAAGACAGATAAATGTTGATTACAAAAAGATTTTTATTTTTAATATCTTAACAATGAAAAAAATCTTTGGATATTTCTTAAATTTTAAAAAACAATTACACACACACACACACACACATACACACATTCCTTTATTTCCTTTAGATTTAAAACACCCAATCTTATATCTATATGAGTACATCTTTATTAACATGTTGATAATTATAGAATTCTGTGTTTTTTTATTGTGTTTAATTTTATTGTGTTCGACATCGATTCGAATCTGGATGAAGTTTAATTATTACGACGGGCATTATTAGGCCGGGACTTTGTCTAAACCTTGTCTAAACTAAAAATTCCAGTAAACCTGTTAAATATTACAAGCTAAAATTAAGATAAAAAAATATATCAGGAATATCTTGAGAGATGAGCAATCTTCAATTTTGTAGTCAAGATCACGATTCCTTTTATCTGAAAAAAAAAGATCAACCTAGAAATCCCTTGCGTACTCGGAGCGATCAGATTCGATCTTAATAGGGGGTTTCTCCCCCCCCCCTCTCCGCCTTTCGAATTCTTCATGCGATTGGGATGTTAGGCATCCCCTAGTAGTTCTTTGACCGAACGGTTAACGATGATTGCGTGCCACGTGATGTTGCGAGAGCGGCGCGACGCTCAATGCGGCGCTCAGTGGCCGCGCAGACGTCGTCGCGGTTGGTCGTCTCTTCCCGTTGCTTCTCGCTACATGAGTAAGCGTGTATGCGTGTACGAGCCTGTGCGATGGATTCGCGAGCAAGAGCAGAAGGGTGAAAAATCCAGTCGCGTACGTCGTGACGAAGAAAGTGAGTACAGCACAAAGTGACCGAGAGATCTTTAATCGGAGCCGAAAATTAAAAATGGGAAGCCCGACCGGTCAGGCTCAAGATCTGTGATACGGCTTCGAAAATGATGACGGCGAAATTAGATTTCTGATCGATCCTTGATCTTCGCGGAGTCTGCCAAAAATAGTCGTGTGTTATTTGTCGCCATACTCTTCGGCAAATTGTAGAATGAACGCGGTTTAAACGCGGCCATAAACGCGATTTAACGCGGTGCACGTTAGATTCACTCGCATTTGATAAATTTAATGCAGTACAGAAACCGTTCTTTAACTCGTATCTTTCAGTCATATATTCGTATATTTTTCTATAAAATTGGATAAATTTAAATGCCTTGATTTTTTTTTAATGATATTTTTAGTTTTGACACGTATAATCTATCCTTATAGATAAAAACTGTCATTTAAGGGATGAAGCTTTTTGATGAGAGGCAAATATTCATTGAGAAGACTCGATTTGTAGTCCGTTGATATTTTTTTATGCAAATTATACAGTAATCTTCTCCAAATGAATTACTTTGCTTCGCCTATTGCTTCCGATACTCTTAAACTTTGTAATGCGATTGTTAATTACGATGAGAAAATAAAGGAGGGAGAGAGAGAGAGAGAGAGAGAGAGAGAGAGAGAGAGAGAGAGAGAGAGAGAGAGAGAGAGAGAGAGACGA